ATTATATCTGTGCGATAGTTTATTGAGCCTTTTCTTTAAACAGTTTTAAATTTCAGTTACTGTGCACGTGAAGAACAATTCATAGTGCACTGTACGCCAGTGTTGTGATCTCTAACAGACACCCGGTAGAAAGTAACATGATTTAGAATTAGCTATAAACTCCAGCAAGATAAAGTCCTTTCATGCAAAACTGCTGATGTTTATCTACAGATCAAGTATAATAATAGGAACATTGTATCATCCTAGAGAGCGTTTCGTCATCTTGACTATCATAACCGAACGCGACGCGCAGTTTGAATGATGACTGACAGCCGCAGCGGAGAGAAGAGTTTATGCGAACTTGAATTTAATGACTTAAATATTCATCTGTACCTCACATTAAACTATGGAACCGTCTCAGAACACTTGAAATATAGTGCAAGGAAATTTTATTCCTTTATAATGTTTTTGTGCCTTTCGTGGGGCTTAACAATAACACAATAGTATATGCACAATATCGGATTTGGATCGGTCTCGTCTGACTGATACCCCTATCCAGCAGAAAATGCCAGTATCGGAGCGATACCGATACTGAATATCGGATCGGTGCAACCCTACTATTGTGTATGAATAAATAAAAATAAATGACTAAAAACTATCAACTGTCTTAAATGCTACAAGTGAACTCAATATTATAATGCATCTTAATAATATAAAGTTAAAAATGCATAGTATTTTTTAAAATTTGCAATATTATATTTAACAGCGTTATTAAATTGTTTTGTGTTTTTAATGATTACATTTAAGTGTGCTGTAGATGATGGCAAAGGTAATCCAAAAATAATTTTAAAAAGTGGAGAGTGGAAACATGCATCCACAATTAATTATCCACCCAACTATATATTCTTTCTTAATGGATTCTCCTGTTCTTTTTGCGAATGATTCATCAGTGCGTAACATTTCCAAGAAAATATGTTTTCATAATCTTTCACCACATATAATATTTAATGACTTGCTCTCCTGCAAAATTACTTTGCATTTTGTTGATGTGAC